TAAGGGCCTTTTCTGTTTTTGTTTTTGTATTGTGAGATTGTTGAATGACGTGGAAAAGAAAAAAACAATCAGTGGGGTAAAGGCGGATCTAAGGAGGGTGGGAGGGTTTAAAAAATGAACATAAAAGGAGGGAGGGAGACTTTTTCCACTTGTAAAGGAACTGCGATAACACGGCGGCTGCACACAGTTTAAATAACTGTAGGGTTCCAGGGTGTTATTTGAAATGTGACATGTTCACCTGTTGTCTTGGTTTGTTGTATAGCGTCTTGCATGTTCCTCCATATACAACTATGTTATCTTAGTGTAGTCCGTAGAGTAGAAACCAGCAAAATATTAAAAAACTGCATCAGCAACGCCGTGTCTGTGGATTCTTTTGCTTTAAATTTGACTTTTTCTTTTTTTTAACTCTGGTCACAGTCGTAGTTCAGTCTTTGACGCCCCAGAGAGCAGATCAGCTGTTTTGAGTATGAGCTGTTTCCGCATGTTCTCCGCATGGCTGTCCCGGTCCTCGGGTCTCTGCTCGAGGCTCTCGGGCTGCTCCAGAGGGTCGGTTCTCTCCAGAGTCCAGGCGTCCAATCCGGACTGCAGGGAGGCGTTGTGGAGGACGCAGCAGGCGAGCAAGATAGCCGAACTTTTCTCAGGAGAGTACTGCAGAGGAGAGATGATGAGGTAGTTAAATGAGGAGAACAAGCTCTCAGTTTATTCAGTTATTTTTTTATATCAGGGAGACAGCTCTCTACAATGTTTTGAATTTGGACTGCAATACACTTTTTAAACACTAGGTGTCAGAGTTAAATAAATCTGAAACTTTTTTGTTTAAGAAAACGTAAAAGAAACTTCAAAACAGTCACAATGGTCCCATCTGATTTATGCATAAACATCATTATTACACTCTGATCCAGCAGAATGAAACAGAGCTCAATAGAGTACCTGAAGGTATCCTTTGGTGCCGTCCAAACACCTGAATCTGGTCTGGATGGCCCTGAAGGTCCGGTCCACAATCTCATGTGTAGTCGTGTGAGCCAGATTATACTGAAACTCAGCCGGGGTTTCTGGGTTATCGACCGGCGTCATCAGCCACTTCTTCAGAGGGTAACGACAGTCGCCTGGAGGTAAACAGAGACAACCCCTTTTTTTCATTTTCTCAACCTTTTTAGATTTGACAGGAAATCAGAGAGACTGAAATCCAGGACTCACCCAGCAGCCAGCCATCCTCGATGTCCTGCAGCTGTTTAAAGAGAGCGGATCTCTCCAGAATCTCCGTGTCTTTGAGTCCTCCTGGCCAGGTTTCTGCACTGAGTAAGAGTCCTCGAGCGTTACAGAGCAGCTGACAGCCCACAGAGTGGAAACCCTTTTTGTTCACGAAGGAAAAGTCCTCGCTGTTCGGGGCTTTGATCGTCACCTGAAGAAGGAGGAGGAGAGAAGAGGTGAGAGAGGAGAGGTCGCCTGCATGCAGAGTGTTCACAAGTATTAGAATCTACTTTACCTGAACACAGTCCAGCACCCCCAGAACTCCTGGAAATCCTGCAACCCTCTGGAACTCCTGGAAGTTTTGGTCTCTGCTGGCGGGGTCTCTGATGTAATCATTTTTAAAATAAAGCACAGGTTTAAAAATAACTCCATCCAAGCAGACATGCATTTACTGGAGCCAGATGTTGGCTTATCTTGTCCGTCCACGTGTACTTGTATTTTCATATGTCAGAAAGAAAGTGATGAAAGCTCCAGATTTCATCATAGTAGAGATAATCTCGATAAATCTAAGAGGATGCAGACAGACTTCTGCATGATGATGACTTGTGCACTCCTTCTTTACTTCTGTAAAAACTATTTTTAGCCCAGTTATTTATGATGTAACATAATTTAATAAACTTCATTGAGGCATTGTTTACCTCTATCATTTAACACACAGATAAGCCTTAGTGGGGCTAAACATTTGACATGTCTCGATCTGTAAGTGTATAGCAGTAGATGGTTTCATACCTGTTGAAGGTGATGAACTGAGGAGCTTTCTCCACCAGGGCTTTGGTCACGTTTGACACACATCTGGACATGGACGCCTGGCTGATCCCGATAGTATCTCCCATAGACGTCTGAAAAGAGCCGGATGTGTAGAAACCCAAAGCTGCCAACACCTGGACCTCAGGACTGATGGCTCTGGACCTCTGGGTACGTCTGCACAGAGCCTGACACACAAACACACACATACATTCAGAGAGGATTTCTAACAATGTGTTTATTCATCATGATCATATCTGTCTCTCCGTACTGTAATCTGTTCTGCACATTATCCCTACACTCATGTTCACTTCATTTGTCTGCCTACTCCCCGTTATATTGACTAGTTTCTGCTGATAATATGTCTACACTCATGCAGTTTAACTTATGTCAATACTGTCCATTTACGACTCTGTTTTTGCACATTTACATTTAATCTTCCTTTTTTTTTTAGACTTAGACTTAGACTTTCTTTATTGTCATTCAAACTTGTACTTTACAGTGCATATAAGAACAAAATTTCGTTGCATTTGGCTCGTTGTAGTGCAGGATAAAAACAGCAGCATGTATTTACATATAAAAAAATAAAAATAAGGTGCAGATATAAATAGATATAAAAAGAAAGACTATGAGTAAAAATACTATACAGATAAATATATTGCACGTTATATTGTGTTTTACAGTCCAGTGAGGTAGTCCTGTGTGGGGGTTTGAGGGGGAATGGAGGGATTATATTTTCCTGTTCAAAAGTCTTATGGCCTGTGGGAAGAAGCTGTTACAGAACCTGGAAGTTCTGCTTCGGAGGCTGCAGAACCTCTTTCCAGAGTCCAGCAGTGAAAACAGTCCTTGGTGGGGGTGGGAGGTGTTTACTCATATTGTGTGTTAGATAACCTGCTGCTGTAACTCCACAATTTCCCAGTTTGGGATCAATAAAGTCATTCTATTCTATTAAAAGGTGACAATCAGGCTCACCTCTCTGAGTAACTCCACCAGGTAGAGGATGAAATGTCTGGGGAAGCCAAACTGTGAGAGGAGGAAATGGTCGGAGACAGAGTCCAGGTCAAAGCGGTCCAGGGTTTTTTGTCCTCGGCCATGTAAGAGGAGGTCACAGTCCAGGATGGCTATAGAGATCGCCATTCTGAGGGTATAAATCAAATACACAGGATGAAATGATTTACCTCAAAGTGCACAAACACACACAAATCCCCAAAAACATGTTTGCAAATTGTCTAGTAAATGCAAATACTGTCACATCCCTGCACAAAATGCACAACTGTGGTTCAATGTATCACATAAAGTGTGTTTCATGTCATGTTTTGATATTTTGCTGCACTACTGTATTAAAAATCAAGTGAAGCTAACATGCTAACTACCTTTAAAAATGGCTGTAAACGTTGTTTGTGCTTTTAAATAGTCTGTTAAAAAGTCTTTTGATTATTTTAGTTGAAATGTCTATGAACCGAGAGTAAAGTTTGGGCTTTAATGTTGCATTTTTAATTTAAAAAAAACAAAACAAAAAAAGGCTCTTACCTTTACAGAAGTCGTGCAGCATTTGTAAACAAAACACAAGTAGACGCAGCTTTCTGCGCACATTCGCAGATTCGACACTGTTTTTTTTTTTTTAAGCGCGCTTGTTTTATATTTAAATGATTGTTTACTGGTTAAAAAAATACCTCGCATTTTTTTTTGGTTTATTGCGCTTAGCGTGGCGTTTCCTTAATATTTACAGTCTATGTGAGTTATTTTTATTTATTTATTTTTTTAATATATATGCCGGACGACAAAAAGTAACGAAAGTGCCGACGTGAAACTGCAATCGACTAAAACACGTCGACATGGAGAAGATAAACAGAAAGTAGCGCAGCCGTTGTTGTCGTTGTAAAACATCGAGAATTGCGCGTCTTAAACACGTGATTTCATGTCGTCTTTTCACGATTGAGTCGCGTTTTATTGGAGCTGCTCTGTAAAGGGAAAAGCGGATGTAAGTTTGACTGTTTTGTTATGAACATAAAGTGTGTCGTATGAAGCTAACGGTTGCTAACGGCTAACGCTTGTTGACCAGGGAGTCACCTCCTCAGTGACCCTCTTATGTCGAGAAATTATTAATAACACAATCAAGTTAAACATTATTAATCTCCCAGAGGTTGTTAAGCAGCGTTTAAAGTAGTTGTCAGTGTTTGTAGTTTGTTATAACTTCCATTTTTAACTCGGATATTTCATGTAACGTGGAGGCCTCACATGCTAACTCATCACACAAACAGACACTTTACTCGAAGTTTAATTCTATAAAACCTTCTTATTATTCTGTGTTTGCAGCTAAAAGCTTCTTTAATGTATCATACATAGTGTGCAGGTTGTAAACGTGTAATTTCACGTTATTAAAGCAACACAAATCAGCTGTTTAAATGATTGTTTTGGTTCAGAATCAGCTGATCTGTGTTGTGAAAGTAATAAATATCATTATTATTATTATTTACATGTTAGGCACATTAAGTGTATAATATTTTTATTGTTGCAAAGCTGGAATTAGCTCAGCACCTGTTATTCTATAATTTAATGTTATTGTTATTTCTACATGTTTTTATTTCTGTGTATTTTGTTCATTATTTACTTCTATTATGTATTTACAGGTTTGCTCCAACACATTTGTTCTACTTGTACAGTGACAATAAAGATTTTCTTATTTTAAGATTAAAGCAGCCTGCAGGTAAAGAACAGTTTACTATTCTACAATTCACTTAGCAGACTCTTTTATCCAAAGCGACGTACATCAGAGAGTAAGAACAACACAAGCAAGGATCTAGAAAAAAGGGAACAATGTCAGTAAGAGCAAATGATCAGCTTTGAGTCTGATTGGACACACAGGTGCTGACAGGAAGTGACCAGAGGCAAAGCACAACATTGAGGGCAGTTCTTGAGAGCTTTAATCAGTATAGAAACCATCTTATAAGTCGTCGTTATCAAACAAAACCCATCGTCATTACCATCATCATCATCAATAATATGGAGACCATCATCTTTAAGTTAGTAGGTATTCATGAAAGAGCTGGGTCTTTAGCTTTTTCTTAAAGGTGCAGAGCAGTGCTTGATCTACAGGATCCGTATGCACAGTCGTCTTCACTGGCTCAAAGTTGAGGACAAGATGACCGCTTTCCTCCTGGAAGCTTCTGCAAATCAAAACGCCTTTATATCAGTACAGTCTAAACAGAATTTAGAATCATAAACATACGGCACCAGACGAGAGACAACAGACTACGCAGAGCAAACACAGATTTCCCTAAACACACAGTCGAATAGAGAAATGAAAACATGGAAGTCCTCTCCCCTCTTACTCACTACATCAACACTATTCATAGAAAGCAAAAGAAGAAACACCTCGGGGCACTGTATTTGTACGATACTGTGGGTAGGATTTAGAAGTTTATTGCTAAACTAACCAGGATTTAGTGACTCTGTTAAAAACTGTGATGTCTGGGATGAAGTTAGAAGTGATCGGGTAGCGAGTTACTTTCACAGTAAAAGCTGTTTATTTTGCAAACTTTACACTTGAAGCTGCTGTGGTGGACGTTCGTCTCTTAACATGTTGATCTGTTTAATTTTAGGCTCGTGAAAACATGGACAGTGGCCTGAGTCCGCAGGATAAGAAAGATCTGGACAAGTTCATAAAGTTCTTTGCCTTGAAGGTAAGAGAGCAGTACGATGATAATAATATGAATGTAATACTGCCGTGTTTATCTGAGCTCTGCGGTCAACACACCAGAGGCTCGTGGACGTCCCAAGCTAAGCAAGTCCCCTCAGACGTCCCTCTCCTCAGCACTATTTTCCAGCTCCTCCTGGGGACCCCGAAGTGCTCCAGGCCAGACGGGATATATAATCCCTCCAGCGCGCTCTGGGTCTACTCCCACTTTATTATGCTCCTAATTGGCTTTTAAAAAAAACCTGTACAGCACTTTTGATGTTGTTTTAAATGTTCTCTAGAAATAAAACTTTGACTTGACTAAGAACAGCGTGCTCGACAAAACCAGGTCAGGTAGATGTAGCGACACCATAAGAAAACAATTTTAGATCGATGTTAAACACAGGGAAAGAAAATGCTTTATACATATATATGATATATATTCAGAGTTGTAATTGATCTGTGATATTATCAATGAACTTAATATTATCTTTGAATGTTAATCGAGAACATAAGGTAGGTGAAGAAGAGTTATGAGCATATGAAAGTTAATAAAATCAAGGCAAGGAAGAAGAATTTTAAAACAACCTTTTTAACTTGTAGATGTTTCCTTTTAATTTATGTTTAATCTAAATTAGCTCAATGAGCTGTAAGATGTACTCACATCAAATATTTTAATCATAATCAAAAAAGCAGTTTTAATTAAATTGATCATTTCAATTAAATCAATAAAAAGGTTTGTGGTATTTTCATTAAGAAAACCAAACGACAATAAACTAATTAAATTGATTAAAAAGTAAGTTTGAAAAGTAAAATTAAACCTAAGAAGAAAAGGTTTAATGTAAAAATGCAGCTTTAATATAAATAATTTACCAAACAATGATTTAAGACTCTAATTAAAAGTTATAGGTTGAAAATAAATGTATTTTATCTTTTATAAATCACTTTATATGGAGAGAGCGCCCTCTGGTGGTTAGTTATAAAAATTAAAATAAATGCATTTTATCGTTTATAAATCACTTTATATGGAGAGGGCGCCCTCTGGTGGTTAGTTATAAAAATTAAAATAAATGCATTTTATCGTTTATAAATCACTTTATATGGAGAGAGCGCCCTCTGGTGGTTAGTTATAAAAATTAAAATAAATGTATTTTATCGTTTATAAATCACTATATAGAGAGAGCGCCCTCTGGTGGTTAGTTATAAAAATTAAAATAAATGTATTTTATCGTTTATAAATCACTATATAGGGAGAGCGCCTCTGGTGGTTAGTTATAAAAATTAAAATAAATGTATTTTATCGTTTATAAATCACTTTATATGGAGAGGGCGCCCTCTGGTGGTTAGTTATAAAAATTAAAATAAATGCATTTTATCGTTTATAAATCACTATATAGAGAGAGCGCCCTCTGGTGGTTAGTTATAAAAATTAAAATAAATGTATTTTATCGTTTATAAATCACTTTATATGGAGAGGGCGCCCTCTGGTGGTTAGTTATAAAAATTAAAATGTATTTTATCGTTTATAAATCACTTTATATGGAGAGAGCGCCCTCTGGTGGTTAGTTATAAGAATTCAAATAAATGCATTTTATCGTTTATAAATCACTTTATATGGAGAGGGCGCCCTCTGGTGGTTAGTTATAAAAATTAAAATGTATTTTATCGTTTATAAATCACTTTATATGGAGAGAGCGCCCTCTGGTGGTTAGTTATAAAAATTAAAATAAATGTATTTTATCGTTTATAAATCACTTTATATGGAGAGAGCGCCCTCTGGTGGTTAGTTATAAAAATTAAAATAAATGATTTCATCGTTTATAAATCACTTTATATGGAGAGAGCGCCCTCTGGTGGTTAGTTATAAAATTAAAATGTATTTATCGTTTATAAATCACTTTATATGGAGAGAGCGCCCTGGTGGTTAGTTATAAAAATTAAAAGTATTTTATCGTTTATAATCACTTTATATGGAGAGAGCCCCTCTGGTGGTTAGTTATAAAAATTAAAATGTATTTTATCGTTTATAAATCACTTTATATAGAGAGAGCGCCCTCTGGTGGTTAGTTATAAAAATTAAAATGTATTTTATCGTTTATAAATCACTTTATATGGAGAGGGCGCCATCTGGTGGTTAGTTATAAAAATTAAAATAAATGTATTTTATCGTTTATAAATCACTTTATATGGAGAGGGCGCCCTCTGGTGGTTAGTTATAAAAATTAAAATAAATGTATTTTATCGTTTATAAATCACTTTATATGGAGAGGGCGCCCTCTGGTGGTTAGTTATAAAAATTAAATGTATTTTATCGTTTATAAATCACTTTATATGGAGAGAGCGCCCTCTGGTGGTTAGTTATAAAAATTAAAATAAATGTATTTTATCGTTTATAAATCACTTTATATGGAGAGGGCGCCCTCTGGTGGTTAGTTATAAAAATTAAAATAAATGTATTTCATCGTTTATAAATCACTTTATATGGAGAGAGCGCCCTCTGGTGGTTAGTTATAAAAATTAAAATGTATTTTATCGTTTATAAATCACTTTATATGGAGAGAGCGCCCTCTGGTGGTTAGTTATAAAAATTAAAATGTATTTTATCGTTTATAAATCACTTTATATGGAGAGAGCGCCCTCTGGTGGTTAGTTATAAAAATTAAAATGTATTTTATCGTTTATAAATCACTTTATATAGAGAGAGCGCCCTCTGGTGGTTAGTTATAAAAATTAAAATGTATTTTATCGTTTATAAATCACTTTATATGGAGAGGCGCCCTCTGGTGGTTAGTTATAAAAATTAAAATAAATGTATTTTATCGTTTATAAATCACTTTATATGGAGAGGGCGCCCTGGTGGTTAGTTATAAAAATTAAAATAAATGTATTTTATCGTTTATAAAT